AAAATTCTAAAAATATTGAAATTGACACGCATAATAATTAAGGATAACTCGGTGCTACCTGGCCTCAAAAATCGAGTTTGGAACCCATACATAATTATTCAGTCCAATTTTAAACATAATTAATTATTTAATTTATTAAGCAAACACACACAATCTAAAAATGTTGAAATTGATACGCATAATAATTAAAGATAACTCGGTGCTACCGGGCCTCAAATATCGAGCCTGGAACCCATACATAATTATTCAGTCCAATTTTAAACATAATTAATTATTTAATTTATTAAGCTAACACACAAAATTCTAAAAATGTTGAAATGAACACGCATAATAATTAAGGATAACTCGGTGCCACCGGGCCTCAAAAAACGAGCTTGGAACCCATACATAATTATTCAGTCCAATTTTAAACATAATTAATTATTTAATTTATTAATCTAACATACAAAATTCTAAAAATGTTGAAATTGACACGCATAATAATTAAGGATAACTCGGTTCCACCGGGCCTCAAAAATCGAGCTTGGAACCCATACATAATTATTCAGTCCAATTTTAAACATAATTAATTATTTAATTTATTAAGCTAACACACACAATTCTAAAAATGTTAAAATTGACACGCATAATAATTAAGGATAACTCGGTGCCACCGGGACTCAAAAATCGAGCCTGGAACCCATACATAATTATTCAGTCCAATTTTAAACATAATTAATTATTTAATTTATTAAGCTAACACACAATTAATTTTGTTTAAATTATAGTAGACGACATGGACTTTCCTCCGCCTGCTCATCCCGGACTTGCCGAGGATCAGCTACTAGTATTGCAGGGCAACCATAGGTCCTCCATTGTATGGGAGGGACAGCTATCGATGCATCCTCTCTGCCCTAGGAGACTTGACGATTTGTTGGAGTTCATCGGGGAGCATCCTTTCCATGCCCGCGTAGTCGCGCGCCTACAGGTTACGGGCTTCTATACGATTTTTGAGCTTGGATGGATGCAGCTTGATTGGTCTCTCATCACGGCCTTGATAGAGCGGTGGCGACCGGAGACGCACACTTTTTACTTGCCCACTGGAGAGGCCACCATCACGCTGGAGGATGTTCAGGTTTTGTACGGGCTGCGCGTTGATGGACTGGCCGTAGCACTGCCCCAGTACATTAGATCCATGACGTGTGCACAGTTTTTGGATATGATGGGGCATTTTACTGGTTATAGACCTCAGGGTGACACTGGGGGCAGTCGCGTTGCTTTGTCAGCCATCAGAGATCATATGGCGCTTTTGCACCCAGACATTACCGTCAAGACGGAGGATCTCCATATTGAGAGGTACACGCGGTTGGCGTTGCTCCTGCTTTTCGGGTGTGTTTTGTTCCCGAACACTTCGGGGAGTAAAGTGAGTTTGCGCTTTCTCCATCATCTTCAACAGCTGGATGGTTTATCCCAGTACAGTTGGGGTGTTGTTGTTCTCGCATACCTGTATAGAAACATGTGTCAGGCGAGCATGGGCCCAGCGGTGGACATATGTGGTTTTCTGCCCCTCCTACACGTAACAACATTTTCGAATACTCTATTCATTTCTCCAAATTCTATATGGTCGAAATGACTCATAAATTTTACATCAACCTTTTATCTTAGGTTTGGGCCTGACAGCGGATCATGCCGTTGCAGCCACCTCTACCACCACTTGCGCCTGGTGAGGCTTATCCGTTTCTCCCTCTAGCTTCTAGGTGGATTCTCCGGCGTGGGAACTACCGAGGGACTGATGTTCATCATAATCTCCCCCTTATCAGAGATGTGCTAGATATGCTAGTGGACGGATAGGTAAATATGTACATACACTTACTTGTTTTAATTTGAGTTGTGTTGCGCGTACTCACTTTTATGTTATTATTTGGTAGTTCATCTGGACGCCACACATCGACGAGTTGGTAGCTCAGCTGCCCTTTTATTGCTCAGTCGATCGATTGCTTTGGAGCACTTCCGTCCCGATGATCTTCTTCTATATGGTTGAGTATCATGCCACAGAGCATGTGCTTCGCCAGTTTCACCGTCCCCAGCCTATACCGAGGGAGCCTAGATGGGTGGCTATACACTATTAGCGGGATGACAGTGCCAGGCTGGATGATATATATATGGGATGGCTAGAGCATCAGGTCCTTATTTGGGAGGAACAACGAACTGACCGTATTTCTCCAGCACCTACATTTACCCAGGAGGCCACTATTCATATGTATGTGTCATGGTACCGCCGTCATACCCGACTGATTATCGGGAACCCCATTCATGTACTTGGCGAGCGCTACAGACCATACGCCGGGAGACACGAGGCACTGGTATGTTTTTTGGCTTATTAATATCGTATAATTGTGATATAGTGTTATTTAATTAATATTTTAAATTTTTCACATGCTCTTGGGCATCATCACCTTTACCAGTTGGGACAGGAGATGCAGCAGCATACCAATATCCCTACAGTCGTTGACTATGGCCGGCGGGTGGCACAGTTGGCTCGTCGAATCCTGTTTCAGGTGAGAGATGCCGCGAGGTTGGACCACGAGGCTCAGTATGCGACGCTAAAGGACTACCATCGGGGTAGGGGTGTCCCACGAGGCAGGGGTAGAGCACGAGGGAGGGGTTCCCCACGAGGTAGGGGTGCCCCATAGGGTCGTGGGGATCGCGGGGGACGGCGAGGAGGTGGTCCCCAGCAAGGGGGCGTTGAGGCACCTGTCGACCCACC